GCCCTAATCACCACATGAACACATGGAGATTAAACAACATACTCCTAAATGGATGTGTCAAAAGAGAAATTAAGAAAGAAATAAAAGTATTCCTGGAATTAAATGAAAAGGACAATACAACACAACAAAACCTCTGGGACACGCTGAAAGCTGTTCTTAGAGGGAAGTTTATAGCTCTAAGTGCCTACATTAAAAAATTAGAGAGAGACCAAATAAATGACCTAACACTGCAACTCAAGATGCCGGAAAGGCAAGAACAAATGAAACCAAAGCCCAGCAGAAGAGAAGAAATAACAAAAATCAGAACAGAAATTAATGAAATAGAAACAAAGAAAACAATACAATTAATAAAAGTCAATGAATCTAAGAGCTGGTTCTTGGAAAAGCTAAACAAGATAGACAGACCCTTAGCCCAGTTAACCAAAAGAAAGAAAGAGCAAATCTAAATCAACAAAAATCAGACATGACAGGTGAAACATCATAACAGACATCAAAAAGATCAAGAGCATTATAAGGGAAAACTTTATAAACCTATACTCTATTATCCCTGAAAATCTAAAAGAAATGGATGGATATCTAAAATCATGGGAACCACCAAAGTTAAATCAAGAAGAGATCAACAGTTTAAACAAATCCATACCATATACAGAAATACACAACCATATAGAGCCATATCCTTAATGAACATAGATGCAAAAATTCTCAGCAAAATACTTGCAAATTGTATTACTGATACACAGCAAAAAGATCATTCATCATGATCAAGTAGGCTTTATTCCAGATATTTAGGGATAGTTCAGTACACTCAAGTCAATAAACGTCATTAATCATATAAATGAATTCAAAGACAAACACCACATCATCATCTCAATAGATGCAGAAAAGGCTTTTGACAAAATTCAGCATGCATTTATGTTCAAGGTCCTAGAGGGAACTGGACTGGAGAGAACATACCTCAACCTAATTAAAGCTATATACAACAAACCCACAGCCAACATTATTCTAAATGGAGAAAAACTGGAAGCATTCCCATTAAAATCAGGAACCAGACAAGGAGGTCCACTGTCTCCACTCCTTTTCAACATAGTGGTTGAAACTCTTGCTAGGGCAGTAAGACAGGAGAAGGAAATTAAAGGAGAAGAAGAGCTCAAACTATGGCTTTTGGCAGATGATACAATACTATACCTAAGAGATCCCAAAAGTTCCACCAGAAAATCCCTAGAACTGATCAACACTTTCAGTATAGTGGCAGGTTATAAAATCAGTCTCCTTTCTATATACCAATAATAAGCAATTGGAGAAATAGTACAGGGAAATGCTCCCATTCACAATTGCTGCA